GAAGCGATGCCTCGGGTATTTTGGCTCGTCGATAATCTGAAAAGTAACACATTGGAGATGATCTGCTGTTATGTATAATGTTCTTGTCGTCTATCCGAGAATTTTAAAGACGACACATAGCACATCGGAAGATTCGCCGGCTGTTGTTTTGTCACGCAGCTGGTATTGTCGTCATTAAACAGTTTCATTGGTTCATAACTTCGAATCATTAGTTTCGCTGGGCAAAAGGAATTTGTTGTTTTCTCTCTTATCTTCACGGAGGCTCGTTATCCATTTTTCAGCGTCAAGATTGTACAACTCATATACGTCAGAACTTATATCGTTTTTGGTTAAAAGAGCGTAACTGGATGAGTATACAAAATGTCTATGCTGTCTTCAAATTTTATTCGGATATCTGCAGGTAAGGCTGGATTACTTCTACTGTGTGTTACGGTCTCCAGTTGTAATCTGTGGTCATAGGGTGAATGCAGATTAGGTTAGGTCCATATTTTACTAATGATGGTCCATCCTTGTCACGATGTAATGGTAACATCACAGATTGATACTTCGTGCAAGGGATGTGCTATTCTTATACCGGTAGTAAGACCGAATACCGAACTGAAAAGGAATGAACATCAGCGCGCACATATTACGTATCAGAGCCAACTTACTGATTGTACTAATTTTAGTTCGAGTTTCGGTGTCCGCCGAATTGGTCAAATGATAGACTCCAAACCAAAATTAAGGTCAGAAAAAAAAGTATATGGCTATGATGCAAAACAAAACAGTTTCATTGAATATTTTTTTATAATTTCTATAACATCCTCGTAGTTCACGCTAAATACTCGGGTATGCTCAGTTAAAAACCTATCGAACTAAAACAAAACAGCATTTTTGCTAAAATTGTTTTTGATAGTACATCATAGCAAAATACTTTATTTTGGGTTTGATTTTTGTTTTGGTTTCGAATTTAAAGTTTGGTTTTGAAGACTATTGTTTGACTAATTAGACATGAGTAGAATCACAAGATTTTTCGTGGTCTAGTCGCTAATTTGGTTAGCGCAAAATTGCTTTTTCTTTAAGAAGATGAGAAATTCCTAAGTAACCCATTTCAGCATTCAGAAGTGAAATTTAGGTGCATCTGGTATCAGTTCGTTCAACTTGAGTCAGAAATGGCATGTAACAGGACACGCACCTTGTGATGTTGTACGCCCACATTACACTTTTGACCCTCAGACTTGGCTGATAAGCACTAAAGTGAAATTTTATGATGAAAGATTTTTGTATTTCAGTAGTGGTATATGACGGGGTTCCGTAAGGGAAAGGCCCGTGGCACGTTCGTCTTATGCTATGTATTGGATTGTATAGTTCAGCTAGAGAGCAAACAGACATCTCTTTGATTTTAAGTATTTGGTCTTTCAGATGTACTTCATGGGTGGCGCTTAAGAATTCATCCTCATTGCACTTTTACACGGACACGTAGATTTAAAGCTACCTCTAAGCATAATGCTTGACGTCTACTACTGATTATGTCTGTACTATCGCGAGGATGGAAATGACTGATTCGACCTTTTGTCGTTGGAGCAATAAGATCAAGACGCTAGACAAGGTTTTATTGGGGGGAAAAGCACAATCGATCGAAAAGGCGGAAGCTGTTACACTGTCTGAAAGCATTCACCAGCTATTCTTTAACAGCCCCAAAGTCACCTCGACCTGAAGGGAAATATCTTTATCTGGGTAAGAGAGTTCGAGAGCACATTAAAGGTAATGATAACCAAGCTGTGGAGGAAGAGAGAAATTATGTGTCACAAATCAACACCGTGGTACTGACAAATACTGAACTGCGATTTTACGAGCCTTTGATGATCTGGCTGCCTCTTTTCTCTCGGTAGGAGGTGTGATATGTCAAGCTCCCACAAAGAGTCTTATGACGAACCTCTTCCGAAGTATTTTTGAGTATAAGTAGATTCTGGGTATTCACTGGGTGTAAACTTTATTAAATTATTGAACGCGTAGGTCGAGATCGACTAAGCCGATCTTATGGAGGAAGCGACTCTTCATAAAAGAGGCGGCGTCCGTGCCTAATACAACTTTGGACAGGAACAAGCGGCTCAAATGTGCTACCAAGCTTCATATAAAGTGACAGCTGATTTCAATATCCATTGCGTTCTTGTCTGTTAGGTACGCCGTATGTTTCGTATCATCAATGCAAGACGTCAACATTATGCGACAGCAAAAAGTAAGAGCTACAAAATCACGCCATCTCCTATTTTGTGCAGACTTGATGTGCTCTATACCAGGCAAGTGTACTTAGAAAAGAAAAACTATATTATCATTCTCTTTGGAAACGCGTAAAGACGTATGGTCTTTGTAAATCACAAATGGCTTTACGATAGGTAAGTGCACCCGCAATTCGACAAGGGCTTACAACATCTCAAATAGCTCCAAGTCAAGAATCGGAGTTACAACATCTTAAAGTTGGCATTATCTTGAACTCAATATTGCCTTCATGCCCCTTCGACTGAAATATTGCTCGACCAACGGCAAAGGCCGAGGTATTGCAGAGAATGTGAAGCGGCCGATTTGGATTCAGAAGTACCGAGATCGAGACACGCATAAGTATTTCTTTCACAACTATGGAAGCAGATTTTTTGCTGCAGGATTGGCATCTGTTCCAAGAAGTTTGGTCGGGAATCTAGTCGTTTTGGCGTGATTTGAACATACTTGCTTAACATGACCAAGAAGTGGCACCGGGCAACTCACAGCGTCCTGCGTCTTGACGGTAACATAGGACATCGCCTTTTCTATTTATAGAGGTTCTACATCTCTTCAAGAGGGAATGCGCATACTCAGCGTCGTCCAGTGTTTCTACTCACTGCTCCATTGGAGTCTTGATGTTGTTAACAACATCCGACGAAGAGCTGCTACTTCCGAAGTCTTCATCCAGCGGATAACATGCCACTCCACGCGCATCCGTAAGGCCTTGCCCAGGATGCCTCGGACATTATTCGACCTCGCCACTCTTAGCCAACAGCAACTGCTTCAGAGCGTGAGCAGTGCTCAGTGGATTGGGCGCCACTCCACGCGCATCACAAGGGCTTCGCCCTCGATACCGCGGACCTCGTTCGACCATGCCACTCTTAGCAGGCAGCAACTGCTTCGAAACGTGAGTGCTCAGTGGATTAGAGCGTCGAGTATAATTGTCCGATGCCCCGGAATCGATCAGGATCTTCAACAACTTCTCAAAGCTCTTCACGGTCGCTTTTACGACCAGCAAGCCCGGCTTGCACACACGTTTCGTGTTCAAGAGCACGGTGCTCTTTGGTACTGGGCCCTACTGCCCTCTGTCGCATTGAGGTACAACAGTACTCAGTGTTTCCCCAGTAGGGCGCCTCGTGCCTCCTGGGCTTGCTCGTTTCCCCGCGACAAGTCTGAAGACTGGTTAGAAGCGGGACGTCGGCTCGACGAACCTTTACGCACCTTGCGCAGGGTACAAACAATCCGAAAGTGATAGGTGTCTCCAAAGACAAGAGACCATCGGGTGTTTACACGCTGCCCGGCATCTCGGTGCTCTCCCTCTTCTTTCATATCATAACTGAGATTTCTTAACTCAGGCCCGCTCGACAAATGCATTCCAATCAAGTTGTGTCGACTTAAATACCTAAAGTTGAATTTTGCATTCAATGCAACATTTACCGCTTCTTCGAATGAAGGCGGATGCACACGGAAGACTTCCGTTCTGACCGTGCCAGCGCGAAGGCCTCCATGGATACGTACCACACTCGGCTTAGGAGGAGGCATTCCTGTACCCGCGATGTGAGCGATTCATGTGGTGCTCGCCCCTGGAGAATCCGCTGCGGACGAAGAAGAGCTCTTTGAGCGATGGGTTTAGCGGCACCGGGAATCTCCCTCGCTGTACAACTTGCCGTTGAGCAAAAAAGAGGTAACGCGCACGTGGAACATCATCTTTCGTTTTGTCTGCCAAAAAATGAAGACGTGTCTCCGACTTCCTATGGATTGTCATCCTGCGACGTATGGGTCAATCCATCACACACCCGCGAGCCCCGGGGTCTCTTACACCGGTGAGTCTGCGACCGCAGTAGCTCAGGGCTATAGCATGAGCTCAGCTCATGGCTCTTCGGCTTTTCAAACTATTGTTGAGATGCGTGGGGCGTACGACGACACGGAACGTCATGATCCCTTTGATCATAAGCATCCACAACGTCTGGGCAGTCTTGCCGAAGTGGCACTTCGAATCTCCACTAGTTCTCGAAGTCGGGATATCCTTTTCACAAGATACTGGGTTTGACCATGGCGACGACGTCGAAATAAAAGACGTTTCACGTGATTGCCACTCGTATAGCTCGCTCTTGACAATGCAGTACATTAGTCTACCGGCTACACGCGTGAACGGGCTCGTTCATCCTTGCGTCTTGCTGACGCCGCGATCCAAGTGTTAGCCGAGCGGATAGCTGGTGTCAGCCCTCTCACTGTGCGAAAAGAAGTCGATGACTTCCTGTCTACCAAACTAAGTGTCTTACGACACGTTCGCGATGCGACGGCTGACAGCCAAGACATGCAGAAGGAATATGCAGACGGAAGAGGTAGAAAACTTTGAGGTCAGAGACCTGGTTTTATTTAATGCTGTAAATCTTCCTACCCATGCAATTTCTGCTGCCTTTATGACGAAGCTCCGTCCACGGTTTATCGGACCAATAAAAGTTGTGGCCATGCGGGGCCTTGCGTATATAAATACCTTCCAAAACGGATACGTACCCACTTGATCTTATATGTGGACTTGCTCAAGCCGTACCGGGATCCGGCGCAAGTGAACGCGAAAGCATTAGCACCGGGGCGGCGCTCACAGGCGCTCGACCGCCCAGAAGCTGCACTATCAACTG